AATAATTATGTAAAAGAAAAAGAAAAAAGCAGAGAGAGAGAGAGAGAGAGAGAGAGAGCTTTTTATAAAAACGCCTCAAGTCTTTGTTAAATTTGATTACGCGCTGGGAAGCTGAGCTTTCTTCTTCGCTTGGAAAATTAATTTTTAGAAGTTGATGATGCTTTTTCCTAATTTTAATTGCTTAGCCCTCGCGTTGCCTCAAGCTTAAAATTCGAATGAGAAGCTCTAAAGCAGACGTAAATAGCAGCTCGAAGGAAGTATAATTATGACAAGGTTTGACAAAAAGAAAACGAAAATTATAGGAAAACTTGTCCAATTGCCGAGACACGTTCGTTGTACTATATATGAAGGAAGATGTACGTGGAGGGACGGCAGCGACCTCGAATGAAATTTAGGGCAGTCAGAGCGTGGGTGCGGGTGCAGTTGCTGAAAAGTAGGTCTAGGGAGATCAGCTGACCGTTGACGCGTCTCTTGCGTCTGCTTTTCTCGCTCCTTCGATGCTTTCGAAACGTCGCTCTGTGAATGTTCGCGGCGATGCTTTGATAACGGTGATTTAGGATACACGACGGAGGTTTGGCTTCGAAGCTACCTTGAGTTATTAGGAATTCAATGCTGAATCAATGTCAACCGAATTGTCAGCCACTTCCAGAAAGCACCTTAATTGTCATTAAAGTTAAATTATCGCGAATATTATATAACGGGAAATTTTGTTTATTTGAAGGACTTGTAACATGCGTTTCGTTGCTTTGATTTCAAAAGCTACGCGCGAGATACACCTAAGGTATACACCCAGGCGTCCCGAGAGAATTTATTGACATTGCGCTTGAGTGCATTTATTTACGTACGTTAGGCTACGGGTCACTCGTTCAGAGATATGTTTCTTGGGGTAACATCTTTGCTCAAAGTCAAGCAGGGCCTGCTATTCAAAAATAGATGTTGTAAAACAAGAGAAGCAGCTATAAATTGAGAATTTAATCAAAAAGTTTATTTTTATTCCTAGAGGGCAAATTTCAGGAATTGAAGGTCTTAATTGCGTCGAGTTTCAAAGTACTTCAGCTCCAGTGGCCTTTTAATTAATTCGTACGAAGCGTATGACGTTTATCTTCACAGATAAAAACGTAAAGGCAGAAGGAAAATCCTTCGTTTGAAATGAAAATTTAAAATATTCTCTTCGTTGGTAGGAAAAAAAAAATAACGCGCTTTCAATGAGGCCTTTGATACATTTTTTCCAACAAGTGCTCTTCGTGCTTTTCTTCCATTCTATCATTTCTGTTGTGTTTTTCTTCGTATTCAACACTCTCCTTCAACAACGCCCATTTGAATTGCAAAGCTCGCGTGTGTACGATATTTGTTCGGCTCTGACAAAGGAGGCTTGAAATTATACGGCATTTTTCTTTTCTGTTTTTTTTTTTTTTTTTTTTTTTTTTTCGTTGAAAGGATGCGTAATGAATTTCTCGGGCTGATATAAATTTTCGATCGATTATTTGCGCGCGGTTGTTGTCGGCGAAACATGTGAATACGATTTGACGTCCCTGAAAAAAAAGCGGATATTTCATATATTTCATAGAGCAACGGAATAACTGTTTTTAGAAATTTATTGCACGAAGCACTCGTGTGCGTCGATACGATTATCAGGAACAACAATCGTTATAGTTTCGCAAGCTTTCGCTCTGATTTATCGTCTGTGCCTCGTTACAGATACACAGCGACGTGCGCGAATGCTTGACACGTGTATCGCGAGTCTGTCCGATATTTCGATTCAACGTTTCTTTCCGATAATATTTGGCACGATATTCAGCTCGTTATTTTGAGTGCAGATCGTTGAGAAAACAGATCAGACTTGGAAAATAAAATGGAATTGTCGATTGCGACATCGTTACGGTACTCGAAAGCCGCCGATAATTGATTTTTCAAGACACTCCAGTCAAGCCACTATGCAATTATCGCGAGCCGCAACGTTGCGTCCCGAATAATGCGTCAGTGACAATAATACACGCTGCAGCGTTGACGAACGCCTCGGGCGACGTGACTTTGGACCGGTCAGGGGCTGCAGTCGAAGAAAAAGAAGGAAGCCCAATGTAACGGTCAGCCGGTAATTAACAGAATGAGGCGAGAGCGTGAAACTGCAATCAAGACGTAATCATCGCCTCTATCCGCTCCTGTCGCGCTTTTTTTCCTAATTATTTAAATGGAGCGGGCCTCTAATCGAATGACACCGATAAATAAACGACGGGCATTGTTCGTTTTATACGACGCGACACAGTTTCGTGCGCCACTCCAAACTAGTTTCATACCTTCAGCGAGGTTACTGAGCTTATAAGCTCATTTCAATTACGCCTGATTACGCGATTTTTCGACATGATTATACTTGACGCGAAGGACTTCGCCTGGCGCGTTTAGCTTCTTTTTTCTTTGGTTTCTCTGGTTTCTTTATTTTCATCATCGCATGCTGCGATTTACAAATCTGTCGCGTTCAGACGTTCCTTTACAAATGGACATTTTCAGTGTTAGTATATACGCATCAAAGGCTATTTTTGAAAGTTGACCTGGTACGATCTCGTAAAACACATTAATTCGCCCACGAAACTGTAAGATTTGAGAACGTGATGTGAAAATAAGCTATTGAGAGTGTAGATCGTTCAACAGCAGCAGCTTGAAAATATCTATCGTGAAAAGTGCAACAAGCATGATCATTCAATTACCAATCGCGTATCATCATCATCATCATCGCCACAAAAAGAAAGAACGAAAGATTGAAGCCACTAATCGGCCTCGAGGGCGTCGATGCAAGCGATATCCTCGTCGTCTTAGTTCATTGCATCGATCACCATAAAAAAGTGTACAGCTGCTAGAAGAGAGACACAGAGAGTACACGAGGCGGCGGTGGCAGTCGACCCAGTTTGCAACTGGTGCGCTCCAGTGTATGCGCGTGGCGCTGGTAAACACAGCGAGTGTTGAGTCACGTGCGAAATAGTCGACGCGCCGAGGCGAGCGTCAGTCGGAGATTAGACGCGTTTTCGTGAGGGTCCCTGTACACACCTGCCGCACACGCACACACACAAACGCGCGCGCGTGCACCGAGGTTCACAGACTTTTTTTTGGTAGAGGCTGTAGTGCAGTTCAGCTTGCTTCTTGCTTTTCTGCTTTTGGTTGGTGCGGTCACGTTTAACTTACAAGGTATTGGCTTTTTTATTTATTTTCTTTCACTTAGATTATCACAAATGAAGAACGATCGGTATTTCAAGCAAAGATTTTTCGGGGAGAAGAAAGCGGTGTTAAATTGTAATAGTGTGGTTAGATTTTCATCTGTTTAAATAATTTTATTCATTAAATATCCATCAAAATTATAATCAAAATCATTAAATAATTGAATTACTTTGTTAAGCAGACGATGTGATTGTAGAAGCATTGTACGCTTTTTACAAGCAATTCATCGTCTTTTTTTTACAGAAACGATAATCAATGAACTCATCGGCGTATATTTTTATAAATATCGATGACGCCTATCATTCCACAGTTTCAATTTTAACCGACTGATGTTATTTTTAATAGACTCAAGTTACATTTTTCTAAATGCAACTCGGTGTACATCACTCGCTTAACGAGCTTTTCATTTGAGACTGACATAATCTCCGTCGGAAAAAGGTCTATTTATAGTGTGGTGGATGCATCAACGAGATTAGTCTGGTATACGGTGTCTCTTACAAAAACTAAAACGAAACCTCAAATTATAGCTGGACTTTTCAGTTTCCCTAGAAAATTGAAAGAACAAATGAAAGAAAGTTACTTATAGTTTGTCCAGTAATAGACGCCAGACGCCCTAATTAGGCTTTAGTTAATACGGCCTTGGCGAAGAGAAAAACCTTGTAAAAAGACTAAGCTTAAATAAAGTCAAGCTCTAGTTTGACATTATATTTGAAAAGTCGTTGGATTCAATTTTGTCGCGCTGAAAACGCTCGAAGCTATTAAAAAATGAGTCTTTGCTACTCGTTCGAGTACATAATTGAACTCGCTTGACGTAAACGTAGGTTAAGGTAAACTGGCTTGCCGGGACGATTAACGAATTTCCCATTTTCGAATAACAAAGTGCTCGCGGATTAGATTTCCATTAAATTCATCCACCTTTCACGTAGTACTGGATTACGATAGAAGAAGAAAAAAAATGTATATGCTATTCGTACAACCATGTACGCAACAGATTTTGCTTTTTTTTTTTTCGTTATCTTGAGCTTAACTCGAGCGTACGGACAATACGGTCTTCCGGCTCGCACGGTAGATACGTATTACGCGTGCTTCTTCCCACCTCGCGCAACAATTCATGTTGCACAATCGCGGCATATCTCACGAAAAAAGAAATCGTTGCGGTGACAGTACGGAAGGAGGGAAGGGAAGAGCGCTTTCTTTGCCTAAAAGATGTCGATGGCCGTCGCACGTAACTGGGATCTTGTTAACGGGTTTTCACTTTGACAACGTCAATTAGCTGTGCAGCCTTGTCGCGTTTGAACATAAGGTTTTGGAGCTTCCTGCGTAGACGACGCGCCTCGATATACATTCCCTGGCGACACGCGCGGGAGAGCGGCATGTTTGCAGAGCGACGCCAACGCACGGGGGAATTTCGTTGGAGAACTCCGTTCTTTCCTTTGGCAATGGGTCGCGTGTCGCGGCGAACGAAATGCTCGGTCGCCGTTAATGTACGTCAAATGTACGAACGGAAGTTGATTTTCGATCGCTCGAGCCGATAAGAAAGATAAAAATGATCGAAGAGCACTGCCTATACTATCTATACTCTCTCCACGCCCACGCGGGACGATCTTGAAACGAGAGGAAAAGGAAGGCGTTCTACAGGTTGGCGAGAGCGTTGCTGCGAAAGTGCGAGTCGCAAGGGTAAACACGAGCGCTGGCGCTCCCTCCAGCAATCGTCCCTCCGACGGACGGAGGCCGTGACCAGGCCGCGCGCGTGCTCCAACTTTTTGCCTTTTATTCAGTTAGCTCGCCGCGGCTGACTCGCGAGGTTCTCTTGGCTGTGGCCGCGAACAAGGGAGTTTGCAATCAGGCGAGAATCGTGAATCACGACGGAAATGCACCGAATTCTTCGCGGCGCTCTTGACACGATTGAGAGGTGCAAGGAGAAGATTCTCAAGGGACGCAGGTACTGCGCGGCCGTTGGCGTCAGGCTGTGATTATCTCCGTTCTCGTGGCCGATTTCACAGACGAAACAAACGTACAAACGGCAACGTTAGCGCGTTTCACGTGCAATTGCATACGTGTCGGAGATTAATGCTTGTCTAAAAATATACGCTTTACGGCTCGGTGTTGCTCGCGTCGTGACGTTTAGATTAATTACCAACGATTTCTGAGAATTTTTTAGTTGTACGCGTGACCGCGTCGATAAAATTCAATGCTAATAACAACCGCGTGACTTGCGATTACTCGAGAGTCGTAAACAGATAATCGATGAATTTTCGAATTTCCAATTCGTTTATCGTGGAAGAGGTTCGACCGATATTTTTCCTCTTTCGTTCGTCGCGGCAAAGAAGAAAAAACTGATTCGCGATTAAGGTCGGTCGGCTGCTTCGCATAGGAACGAGTCCAATGTCAGTTTAATCTAAATTTGAATGTGCTGACAGCGCAGTATCTATTATATCAGTAAATCGATATACAACGCGTTGGGCACTTTCGGCTTAGCCTTTCGCATCGTCAAGTTCGTCAACGATTTTCATGTTTCCATTTACGTTATTACGTTATTATCAGTCCGTTCGTTCTTTTTTCACCATCGATTCTTCGAACATTTCAAAGAATTAGTTCGATCACTCTGGTGTTCTTTACAGTTAGTTGCACCAAGTTACCTCGTAAATATAAAATCACTTGACTCTTTTCATTATGAAATAAACATGCGCGAATTTATATTTTTAATGAGATTGATTTTTTCACGACTATTCAAAGTGTATTCTTCGCATCCTTCAACAACTGAACAATATGACTTTGATAATAAAGTATCGTAATTTCTAAATACATCTCGTTAAATAACTTGAACGCGGATAAATCAAAGTAGTTTATTGATATTTCAAGGGTGATACGTGAAACGTAAAAGTTCGTTCGTCTGAGACGAGCGTCTCGAGTAGGTTGCTATTCGGCAATTTTACACGAGAGATCCCAAGTTTGTCAAGTTGTAACTTACATATTCTCAACGCGTCTTTTGAAAAAACTTGGACAAAAATAAAATCTCGAAATATTTTAATCAATATTAAAGCCTCGCGTGTACAAAAGAGCTCGTTGTTTCAAATCAAACAATGTTACTTCGGAGCACAATACTTTATGCAATTTGCCGGCTGAAGCCGGGTCTTAAAATAAAAGAGCGCCGAGTGAAAAATCGATCGTTGCACATTCGCGACAATAACGAGAGAGAGAGAGAGAGAGAGAGAGAGAGAGAGAGAGAGAGAGAGAGAGGAAGCAGAGCATTAAAAATCTGGCCTGTTTTGTCGATTGTTTCAGAATGAAATACTCGCCCCAGGCGCAACAGCAGCAGCAAAAGGACCGTAAATCCGAGAGCGAGATGAGTTCGGTAAACGCGACTCCGGCCCGCGCGGCGGCAGGTGTATTGCAGCGCTCGGCGTCGGCGGCCTCGGCGGCAGCGAGCCAAACAACATCGGCGGCCAGGCGAGTCATCAGCTGCCGGCCACTGTCGACCGACATGTTCGCCTGGATGCGCGTCTTTCGGCTAGCTCATATGCTTCAGTCGGTCAACTGCTAGACAACCCGATCCACACACCCAATTTTCGATTGACACGTAACGGAATTCCACACCGCAAACAACATTACACGAGAGAACACACGGAGCGCTAAATGCTAACATTCCCAGGCTATACAATTAGCTAGAGAAGCAAACAAAAATCCAAGAATTTATGCGCAATTGGTTATTTCTTTTATTGAGGACAGCTGCTTGTCTACTGTCTACGGATCACTCTCCTAACTCGCTAGGGTCTCGAGCTTCGATGTGATGCGCTGTGGACAGTAGGCAAGCAGCTATTCTCAGTCGATCGTTCTGTATAGCTTTTTCGTTGGCTGTAGTGGTCGAGATAACACGCCCTAGAAGTATATATCGATATATACTCACGTACAAGTGTAACTGGCTGGGATCCTAATTGTAGATTATTACGTAGATCTCTCTCTGTCTCTCTTTCTCTTTCTCTCTCCCTCTCTCTCTCTCTCTCTCTCTCTCTCTATCTCGATTGAGTATTACCTACCCGCGAATTGGTGAAGAATGCAAATATATATTGCCGGTTATTGCGTTGAACCTAAACACAGACACACAGCCGTACACCTACACAGGCATTGGATTTTCACCTGCGTACACAACAAAACTCTCGAGCAAACTACGATAACAGACTTATCGCCATTGTGTCGAGGACACGCTGTTCCTTAGACCATCGACGGTCCAAGCGAGAATCAGTGGCCCTTGCCATGGCGACTAGTTTGACTCGTGGTATGTCCGTCAAAGATAATCAACGCTCAATTTGTCTTTTCGTTCACTACTGGTTTGTCCGTTAGCGGTTTGCTTGGCGAAGAACCAAAAATAATACGGTCGAGCGGCGATGTTAGCTTCGAGCGAGATAAGTATATTTTCTCTAAATACGCCAATAAATGTAGCCTGTACACCACGTACGAGATAAAACGTCCATTGAGCTTCGTTTGTCCAGGACCTTCAGCATAATACATAACATTTTTGAAAGAGCAAACAAATAAGAAGAAACTGTTCGAAGCTGACATCGTTACACTGCGACTCGACGATTCACAATTGACTTTGATTGCTGTGAGTGCAAAATAACAAACAGAACAACAAAATAAGTGATGTAAGAAAATAAATCGAGACTATGAATGCGTGTAACAGCTTCGACTGCCATGTGTAAGAAGTGAAGAACGTTATCGGAGCGTTTCTGTTGAAATAATAAAACGATGATTGAACAAAAAAATCATTATAATTAACGCAGAAAACAAAAAATCATAAAAAAATAACAAAAAAATTATCGAAAAAAAAACATTGAAAGCGAGTTTATCAGTCGCCATTGTCCTCAAAGCCATTGGTTTCTATTAATTCCTTATGTTATTCTGTACGTGCCATCGACGATCAAAACACACACAAAAAAATGCATAATGTTGGAATACTTTACGTGTATTCTATTAATTGTTTAAACGAAAATCCAATTGACAAAATACACACTATGATTGCGCACGTTTCCTTGTTGAATGATAATGTTACATTTGACGATTATTATGTGAGCAAATCGACTAATAAACTGTTTGCTTTATCTTGCGATGCATAGCATTTATTTACACGCACACGGCTCTTTTTCACAATATCCTTTTTCCTTCGATACTCTCCACTAGCACTTCCATTGTTTTCCTTATTAGATTGTTTCATTGAATAGAAGCTTTGCCAACATAACTTTTAATTACATTCTTCTTACAAAGTAAGGTAATTTATTTTGAATTTAATAATAGATTGAATGAATATATTTACAAAACGCTCAATAACGGATCGGATTTGAACTCATTTAGTATACCTTTGTGAATTTGATTAGAAGTTGAACCGAAGATGAATACTGTTGAATAATAATATTCACTGATTTTGATCGCCGAAAATCAAATGACATTTATTTTATTGGTTGATTATGATATTTAATAAACGCAGAACTAATTCATTACGAATCTTATCTTGCTCATATCAGTCTTTAGAAACATTGATGGAACGTTAATAGTTATTGTGGCATTATTCAAATGTACATTTTATTTCAATAAAATAAAAATAATTGTCTAACGACCTTTCATCTATATTAGAAAATTCAATAAGTCTTATGATTTTTTTTATCTTATACTACTTCTATAAAGAATACGTGTAGTCTTTATGGAAAATATACATAAATTTCTCAGGGTCACACAATATATTTAAATGCAAACATTAATTGATGTTTTTAATGAGTTAGCAACAAAGATTCATTACGAGTTTTACCATGAACGTATTATTTTTATTGCAATTTTAATGCATCGGCGACCATAGTAGAAAATACAAGTAATTATATAAATTAATGATATAAAACTAATTTTATCCTTTTCATTTTTATATTAATACGAGGTTCATACAAATATGTCACAAAATAGTGGTTCAATTTTTGTCATTCAAATTTCGCCGTAAAGCTGGAAATGAATAGATTCCAAATTCTTAAAAGAAAATAATCAAAAATTTTGTGAATTGACAAATGTATTAATTATAAAAAGACGTCAAGAAATTTTGGCCCCAAATGGAGTAGATATCAAATGTCATTTATTACCCCTGCGTTTCTATACATTAGCATAAATAATTTTAATAAAATTTCGTATTTATATATTTTTGCTTTTACTTTAAAATTAAAAAATTTTAATTATACTATTAGCACCCTTCGGGATAACTGATTTTTATAATATTTCAAAACCAAGTTTCAAATATGTACGATATTTTATTGCTGCGTTCAAGTTTTTGCAATTTTAAGGCATTGATTTTGCAGTTTTTTAAATAAAAATCCACACAGTTATGAATTCTTGAATATTCAATAAATTGACCTAATTTATTTCAAACAAATTCTTTAATTTTTAATGCAATAACAGACCTTCATAGTTCTGCATGAAATATATCGTCGAAAATTCTTGTTTTCTTCATATTAAATGATAGCACGTTTGTCCTAATTATTGTACTGAGACGCAGACAAGACCAGTCTAGTGACAAAACTATAAACTTGGATAAACTGTAAAATGTAATACTGTCCGATTGTTTTTGCTCAAGATATTCATGAACAACCTGCGGGCTATATAATTGTTACCGATAATAAATAACACTCAAGTACTCAGATCTATGTAAACTTACTTATTTCATAACGCAAATGCAATATTTCAACATCATTGTTGGACGTTCTATTGACATTTATACAATTGGAATGAATAATGCACGCTATAGTACATTACGATACATGTGCGGGAAAGTAGATGCTTGTCTCGTGTGGCGTTTACGCCCGAGCGAAGCGAGGGTGGAAAGGTACACGAGACGAGAAACTCTTTCCTGAACATGTGCCGTACCGTATTTTTTGATACGACGTGTGGAAAGTGCGATTTTCAATGCACGTTTTTTGCCGAGCGTGCGGGAAAACGCACTTTCCGCACGGAGCGTCGAAAATAAATTATTACATACATAATTCAACAATATATGACAAAAGTTAAAATACAAAATTTCATGAAATTTTTAATGCAATTGTACACATAAAAATTCGATAATATTATTCAAACAATTGTTTCATATAAATTTGTAATATTATACAATCATCGCTTTCGTTTCCATATCATTGGATTTGATAACAACCATTTGATTTTAAATTTTGATATTATAATGTAACTGACACATTAAAAAACAGAATTGAGAATTAATTTTAAAACTAATATGTAGTTATGTAGAACCAAATTACGATGCTAAAAATTTAGTAAATTGAGGAAAATGTATAGACCCGAAATCAATAACTAGAATAATACTATCGATAGACAATAAGATAAATGTAAATTTTCATTTCGAAAGCATAGATAGAATATAAAATAGAATTTCTTATGTTCAATTAACTGTACAAACTTCTATTTCATATACTCATAAATAGTAAAATTGACCTACATTTCTATCTTTTATTCTGTGATTTTATAAACTTCAGAACCTTGTTTGAAATTTTTTATACCTAACTTTTTACCCGTAAAATGAAGTTTAAACAAGTATGATTAGTCTTCATAATGGCTGATTCTTATTTTGTATTATAAATTTTAAATTACGTAAAGTACAATAAATTAAAGTCTACATTATTATTATTCCATTCTTAGTTATTAATAATTTTTTTTGTTACGTTTTAATTTGGGGCTTATCTCTAAATAATTAAAATATAACAGTAGATAATAAGTATGTATTGCGATCTTAAATGAATTAATTTGGAAAATTATAGTTAAATGCAGATGAGTATTCGTAATTATAAATTTTTAAATCCTACTGTACTTCTTACGCTCTTTGTATCCCCTTGTGAACTCCCAAGCATCGGACTACGGTATTTGAAAGCAGTTTCAATTTTTTAAGATATTGGCCAAAAAAGTTTGTTAGTTTTATTACCACTGTATGAAAGCATGCATTAATCAATTACGATAAAATATGGAAATCCTTATAATGCACGAGAAAAACGTCAATATTATATATTAGCTTGATTATCCTCATTTCACTTTCATATATGTAGAAAATTTACTAAACCTGTTTGAAAACGGTACTGATCTTATAGTAGTGTTTTAAAAAAGCTGATGACGTCCTTGGAATCTGTCAAATTCGTTATTAGTAGCAAACAAATTTTTAGCACCTGTGACCTTGTATATATTATCGAGCCATTAGTTATATGCACAATGGCTGTGACATATTACTTTGTGTAGTAGATTTAATGAGATACAATATTTGGGTTATGTCATCACTTTGTGGAGTACAATTGTAAAAATGTTACCTTTAGCTAAATGGTGATAGAGCCAGATAATGAGCAGATGCAACTCTGGCTGCAATGCCACCGACAGTCAAGCGGTTTGGATTACCTTTCAATAGCTGTAAATATTTTTATATCCACTGAAATAACAAATTGAAGAAGCGCCAATTGATTATTTTAAATGAATACTAATGTTAAATTTTTCAGAGATCAAGTAAACTGTAGAATAGAATCAAAGGAATTCAGAACTTGTAATGTATCTTGACGTATATATAAAGGTATGACATAGGTGTATGATCAATAGATAGACGCTAAGCGTCTAGCTTCGTTGGTATGATGCACGTCTATTCATGTACAAAATGTCGACACGAGTTTAAATCGGTAATTCTTTGCCTTTCCATCACAGTTAGACAATCGGTACTTGACGTCTTGCACGCGAATTGAAATTGTCTACGCACGTGTGCAGATTGCACTTTCATTTCGAGTCCACATGTTTACATCATGCGTGACGGACTCGATAAATCGTATTGTTCTGTGTTATGCTTTTATTCATCTAATGTCGTTTGTGATGAAACGAGCTGACTTAATAATGTTCATTCTAATTTAGATCTATATTGCTGATACCTGTTATATATAGACTGTAGCTCGGAGATGTTTCATTGGCGTAAAAATGCGACATATAATCGTTCAGAGGAGTGTTTGCTTTGGATGGACAAAATTAATCGTAAATATAAATTTTTTAATACATTTTTATTAAGTTGATTATTCCATTAGTAATGTTAAATTTAATTGATAAAATCTATTGAGAACAAAATAATTTTACAATCATCAACTGTGCATGCACAAAACTTTTCCTTCGCAAGCTTTACAGAAAATCCACTTTGAAACAATTTATATGTGATATTTGAGTAAAATGCTTATTTAGCACATAATTTAATAAATATCTTAACTATTATTGTTACCGATTGATTTAAAAAAAAAAGCTTTAATCGCATGAACGAAAAGGGTACAACTAGTTTGTTTTTATCGACGGTGCGTCGCAAGGAAACTTATTAATCAATACTGAATGACAATTGAAATTGTCTGTAATTTATTTTTCGACACTCCGTGCGCAAAGTGCGTCTTTCCCGCACGCTCGGCAGAAAACGTGCGTTGAAAATCGCACTTTCCACACGTCGTATCAAAAAATACGGTACGGCACATGTTCGGGAAAGATTTTCTCGTCTCGTGTCCCCTTCCACCCTCGCTTCGCTCGGGTGTAAACGCCACACGAGACCAGAATCTACTTTCCCGCACTTGTATCGTAATGTACTAGTTCTACAATTTTCTAAGCTATATATTACTTTGCATTACATAATTCGTGTTTCATTTTATGATGATAAAAAAAGAATATGATTCTAATATCACACTATTTTTCATGACTTTTGATCCAATCTATATATTTTGAAATTTTTGTAAATGCTGATGGATATTTAGGCATGCCAGTGAGTGCAATGCCAACTACCGTACCATCTACGATAAAAGGACCGCCAGAATCGCCCTGAAAACAATGTAGTGGATTAAGCATCGGTCAAATAAGAAACATATATTAATTGTTTGAACGGCATTTTATTATACTTACTTTGTATATGGCAGCATTACCCTTTCCTTGAGCGCATATTTGAGTATTTTTGAAATTATGTTTCTTATATTGTTTATTGCAATACGCCACATCTCTGACGATAAGCTTAGTTTGCAATAAGTTTCTGGAGGACCTAGAATTTTCCTGTCGAAAAATGCTGTTACAATCAAGCATTCAAATTATTTTATTAATATTATAAAAAATATCAATTACCGATGTTCTTCCAAATCCTATCGCTAAGCCTATAGTATTGATATCGATTTCATCATTATTTTTTGATAAGCTCGCGGGTTTCGTTGAAATCCCAAATCGGAAGGGTGTTGCTACCTATAATATCAAAAATTATAAGTGCTTTTTTTATAATAAATTATGGTGTAATATCTTTCTCTTTCTATGAAATATCGTAAAACATTCACAAAGAAACAATTCTTATAAATCATTCTTATCTCGAAGTTCTTGCTACATGAATTACTTAATCGAATTCATTGCTCTTTGTAAGTTAGTCACAATGAATAAACTGCGTGTCTGATTAATTCAATGAAATTACGTTAGTTAAAATGCACATTGTGTACATACTGACTTTGATCAAACCAATATCGTTGTTCCACGTATCTTCCAGATTGAACTTTTCATGTGGAATTAGCTTGGAAATATAATGAATTGAATCTGGTTTATTCCAATCTACAGTGCCACTGACGACTCTAAGCTCTTCAGGTCCGAATCTACGAGCATTAAATATTCCAATTAAAGTGTGTTGAGTAATTAAAAATAAATTACAGTCTGTTTTATAAATTTGGCCCACCCATCTATGCAATGCGCTGCTGTCAGAACGTAACAGGGATGAGTGATAATTCCTCCACAGTGGTGATCCGTACCATCATAATTTTGAATAGAAACCTAATGTATCGAGAAGAATTTATTAAAACTTTATTAATTTACTTTTTAAGGAGTACTGTTTTGTATGAATCAAATTTACCATGTAAGAAAAATTCTCTATTAATGCCGGCTCACCGTCTAAAATTCTTTCGATATTCTTCGAATCTAGGCCTGCAGTTTTTTAACAATATTAACAATTGCTGACAGTATAATGAGAAATTCTTTAACAGAATTACAAATTGGCTTACCTGGAAAAGAAAGAATAAGAAGGCCAAAAAATATTGACAACGACATTATTGACTGGATTATTTTTCCACGTGTAGCGCGTGATAAATAGCCGATTGTTCTGCTTATATAGACTGCATTAAACTGTGCGTCAGTTCAGTGTCAACAATTTCGTAAGTTATAATGGCAAAATTATCATGATAAAGTTATTATCATGACGCACCTAATTTATTCTTCGACAAAAAATTAGTTTGCTGAATTACGCGCGGATGTTGTAATCTGTATCCCGTTGAAGTCTGAGTTGACTAAATTAAAGTTGGTAACGGTACTTTCAGAAGTTTAGATGCGACGCAATATTATCTTACTTGTAAATGCAATGTGATTTTTTTCACGATTCAAGTGTTTACATCACACGTAAATTCGGAAAAAAAACAGCTGTGCGTGACTAGTTCGATTAACTAATTTTCTATCAATCAACAAGCAAATCAACAGAATTTGAAAAATTCAATCGACAGTTAAGGGTTATGAAACGCTTTTCCATGTTAACTTTGAAGTTACAGAACAGTTTTCAGTTTACTTCTCATGCACTGACAGAAATGAGGTAGTAAAATCTGCAATTATAGTAAAATTTACTATAAACTATAGCAAAACTAGGTCATACTTAAACTGTAGCAAAAATTACTATGTTGTGCATTATAAATTTTTGCAGTATCTCCTATAATTTTTATTATTTAACATGAATAATATTTACTGCTCATGCAGTAATAAGAACTGTGTAATCAAGTTTTTATTTTTACATAGTTATATTTGCTACAAAATACTGTTAGATTTTACTATCTAACATAGTAATATTTACAAGGGGATATTTTTATATTTTACAAGTACCACAATAAATTTTACTGGTCAGAAAAAGTAAACGAAAAAATATTTCCTACAACTATCTATTATCATGAGATATCGTTATGTATTTTCGAATTCTTTCGTCTACTTTATGAAAGTCTAGTTTAATTAGTTTATTTAAACATTTGTACTTGGATTTAAATTAATTAGTTAATCGATCTAACCTTAATCTAACTTACGATAGTTCGCAATAGCTTTCACGCATATATTTACATTCATGACCACAATCGTAATTTTCTTATAAAACTTACTTGTATTAAAGATTTAAATGCGTTCTTACAATTTGAAATTAAAGTTAAAACTTTGAGAATTGAGCCTTGCATGCTCACAAACTAAAAGAATCGCACTTTCCACACGTCGTATCAAAAAATACGGTACGGCACATGTTCGGGAATAGTACATTACGAGACAAGTGTGGGAAAGTAGATTCTTGTCTCGTGTGGCGTTTACGCCAGAGCGAAACGAGTATATTATATATTTATTATACATATATAATGTACTATATTTTGTAAACGTAAATTCATTTTAAATGTCATGTTTTAGTCTTCAGAAATTATTTAAAAAATTTTTAAAAGTATAAACAATTCAATACTGACCTGTGATACTTCAGCTATGAGTAGTGTAATACAAACCATATTAAACTTTTCAACTTTTTAACTTGTTAACCGGGGAAATCCCTTTCTAATTACGCAACATATAACGGGCGCGTCCTTTTCCACTAAGACGTGTATGAATGACGTATTACCATAGTAGTAGTAAAATATACGTCCCGCCCGTTCCAGGGCGCAATATAAATATCGAGGACGTATTCATATGTCCTACCCGTACCCGATATTGTTTACTTTTGACGTATTTATACGTCCCGCTCAGTTAACAGGTTAAACTTCTACATTGACTTACACTGAATAACCTATAGAAAATGATAGTAATGCGAAAAATTTTGCATGCGATTTTCTGAATAATCTTTCTTACAATGGATTCATAAGCAGAAAATGAATATACATTAGTTTACACACGGAAAGAAGTTTCTCTTAAAAATTATAACGAAATTCGTTACAAAAATTACAGTGCGTAACCGTAATCTTGGGACATCATGACTGATCGATAAAAATTATTAACACATTATAATTTTTATCTGAACTCACTTAAAAACTAAATCTTATCTTAAAAATTTTCATGGAAAACGCATAATTTTCTTAATGACGCTCAGTAAAATTTCATTTTGTTCATTGTAAAAATTTTCCCACTTTTCCGAGTCAACTACGTTCACGGTTGTTATTGAAGTTGTATATTTTTGGAAGCAAATTTTTGTTTCTGACATTATATCTTACGTTAAGAGCATATAAAATATGACTAGTAATAACATTTACTTAAAATCGAATTTTATAAAATTCGATTTTAAGTAAATGTTATTCGTTGGTAACTAAATTCGTTGGTAACTAAATATATTAAAACCAATTTTTGATGTTGAAGAATCTTACAATTATTATTACTTTTGAATCCTTCGGAATTAATCAAATTATATTATTGGCATAAACATGTCAAAGAGAATTCGATGTTTATTTGTTGTATTGATTAACCTGAATTTGTAACGTTGACAACCAATAAAAATTATCGTGACGAAACCATTAATTTTAATATACTTAAACATAACGAATCTTGACAATCCTTTACTTTTTAAAAATTTTCCTTATAAAAATACAAAATTGTTATCATAAAAATTATGAACACTAAAAATTACAGTTTATCACCGTATTATTTCCAATATTAAAGCGTAAATTTTCGAGTTTCTAAAAATTAATGGAAATCACGAATGTCATCGATGTCGCAGGTTTACACGTGTATCTGTTCTCAGCGCGACCTAGAACTAACGACGAGGACGTGATGGGGGATTGATCCCATAGTGTAAGTGTTTGTATATATTAAAAATAATTTTTTTATTTGTTTTTCATTTTTTTCTTTCATTTTTTGCGTATATTTATATGTGAAGTATTTGAATGTGATGCATCTGATTACGTGTATGAATGAAACAATATAGATATGTGTTTCTAAGAAAACATTATTCGTGTTCATAAAATTATTGGAAATGTGTGTATAACTTTGATGAGAGCAAATGTATGTGTGATGTTCATATGTTATATATGAACGAGAGTATTCACATGTATTAAAATGTATACGTTTATATAGAAAATCTACTGTGCGCTATGCTCTTCTAATCAGTTTACACTTGAATCATGTCATTATCATTCAGCTTCAGTTTCTCTGAAGCTGAATTATTTTGCTCTTTAAGAATCGATATTGATGCATTGCAAATATCAAGATAAGGTATTTGAATACCGTTATATTGTTCATATCCAAGAAACCATGTAATCGTCATAATATGACTACCATATCTAGCCCCGCCCTCGCATGTATAATAATATTCTATAATCGAGCCTCTACCATGTTTCGATTTGTTCATTAATAGGAAAATATAATGGTGTTTCTTGCTACGATATCGAGACTTCATGTAAGCTTTTACTAAAAGTGGATATACAATATCAATTCCATAAGCTATATAATTTATACTTGCAGTTCGATGAGAACACCCGGAGCTCAAACAAATGATCGATAGACCAAATTTGCTTTTAATTCATATAAACTTGTTTTTGAGACGTTCTATGCACTTCAATCGTAAACTATGATGTATCTTTGTATTCTGAATAAAAACCTGGAATCCATTTGACCCCATCGAGTTAGAAACAAGGTCATTTCAAGGTGAACCGGTTTATTTTGCAAAAATATAAACATAACCCTAGTCGTTGCTTGCTTGCTTGAGCCCTAATTGCTTTAACCCTTGAGCCCTATAACCCTGCGTGACTATAACGCTCGACTTTTAACTCCAATTTCCTTCATCCTCGAGCCCTGTAACCTGTGGAGCTATAACCTTAAACACCTAACCTCAATTTCCTTAACCCTCAACTACTTAACCCTGTAACGCTATAAATCCGACCGCCCAAACTCCAATTTCCATCATTCGAGAGTCTGGTAACCTGCATCTTTACAACCCTCGATCGCCACATCCTAATTTTCTTCACCCTCGAGCTGTTAACTCTGTAACGCTAAAAAGACAACCCCATACTCAAATTTCCTTGGCCCTAACTCGATGTGGTCAAATGGATTCTAGGTTTGCATTCAAGATACAAAGATATATGATAGTATATGATTGAAGCGCATAGGATATCTCAAAAATAAGTTCGTATTAGTCAAAAGCAAATTTGGATTATCTGTCACTTGTTTGAGTTCCAAGTGTCTTTCAAAAGTCATGTATTTTGATGATTGTCAGCACTGTAAATAAGATTTTAATGTAAGCTTGGAGGTTTGACGATATTAGGTACTTACACAAAACTATTGAGACAATCCTTTTCACTAATATGTTTGAACTTATGTACTTTTTCTCGACTAATTACTAATCTCAAGGCCGTATCTTCCGCCTCAAAGGCGTCTGTTTTTCCAAACATCTTGCTTGCTATTTCAAAATGGCTTTTCCGCCACTTGTTTTTTTTAAGAAAGCCAAAAAAACCCTTACATAAAAACGAAATAATTATTTGCATGTTTTTTCTGGGTGGTTATTGTTATTCATAATAGTTGGGTTAGAAATTTTTCTTTTACTTACTGTGTCATTGCCGGTGGATCATAATTAGCTTGATTTTCAAGCACTTACCAATCTTAAATATTTTATTCTCCCTGCAGCCGGCTTTCAAACTCTTTAATTTGTACAATAATATCTTTATTGACCTTGACTGATCCCGTAGCTTCATCAGTTTATATTGAAATCTAGAATGTTAAATGATCTGTGACGAATTATTATTATAGCATAATATTTGTTTAACAATACATACCTGACTTGCAAAATACATTTGTCATAGTTCATGCTTATAATTTATCCATCTATTATTATAAGCTTCAATACTAACCCATAACCATAGAACCTTGATGACAAAAGAACAAATTAAAACATAAGTCACAATGAAAATGTTATGAAACAAGATGAACAAATCTAAATAATGAGTATGCAGTCACTGTCATACTTTAAATGTTATAAAATATGTACCTACAGTTGTTTAATATAGAGCATGTGTCCGCCAAAGTGTCTGACGAATATGTCAGCAACATTTACCGAATTCGAAACAATGAACGTTTCACGGTTACTATACTACACGACAACCTCAAAACATCGGACTGCACATGATTTGGCCTAGTAAATTGTTCTGTCATGGTAAATTGTACTACTGTATAAAGCAGCTTTTGTCATAGAATATAGTAAAAATTGTACAACTTAAATAATATATTTTTTAGATGCCAAAATTTGCTTTGTATTTTAGTAATATATATGTAATGTATATTATAAGTTTTACTTCTCAATTAATAATATGTATTAATAATTGGATCACATTTTATTATGGATATCAATAACAATTATAATATAAAAATATTTACTATAGGTACGGAATATTTTTTGTTAAAGGCTCAATAATTTAAAAATGAAAGTATAATAAATTTATTATACTCATAATAATTTTTGATAAAAATATCTAATTTTCACCACAATTCGAGTACACAATAGCTCTACTAAGATAAATAGCAAAGTTAGCTGCAATAATAATAAATATTATAAGACCGTTTCTCTCAATGTGTGTTACATTAACATTAATGCTTTCCGGCAACGACAGTCGTGTCACTCTAAAGAAAGGAAACACTTGTACAGCATGACTGACCAGTTAAATTTCATTATTATATTCGAAATTGCATCAATATTGTTGACCACAAAGGTACACTTGGGCGTATTTTCTAAAACCGATCGAAAGCTCGGCAGCACCCTGTCGCCAGAGCAACGAAGCTTGCTTTGCCCTCGCGGTCTGTTACCCATTGCGATCACTCGCCACTTTACCGACACAAGCTATCTGGTGTCGTCGCCTGCCGCGCAGTTGCGGTCGACCGACAAGTGTCGCCACCGCGAGACGGCGAAAGCTCACCTGGGCAAGCTCGGAGCTCGATTTGGCGCGGGCGCGAAACGTCTGAATCCGGCGCCGCCCCCTTGGAAGGAAGGTGTGAGGCTGAATTTTCACGCGCGCGCGGGCTCGAGCCCCGGCAGTTCCGCGCACGAGAGCGACCCGCGCGCGTCTTGGCGCGCCGGCTTTCGATCTCGACCTCGCGCCGCCAGCCGCCGACGCTGTTGCTCTGCCTGCAGCGCGCTTAGTAGCACGCGCCCGTGCCCGGCTCGTTCGCACAGGTGAGTGTGGAGCTTTCGCGCTTGGTTTCTGTTTGAGCTGACATTAGCCTCGACGAATGGCCACTCAATGTCGCTTAATTCGCTTTGCCGAGGGCCAAAGCCTCCGATGGCCGCGTCGACCAACTTTCAGAACCCCGGTAAATTTAATGGAATTATGAAAAATGAAAGTATCATTCGGATGGTCGAGCTTGCATTTTGGGGAAGACGGAGCCTGAATTCAGCCAACGCGCTGTTCGTTATTCGAATTTGAATAATGCCCAACGCCACGTCACAGACGCTCAATCAATTGCAGCGACCTTACCGAATTAATCATAAAATACGCGATCGCGGCCGATCTATTTTGTCGACAAAAAGTCTATATCTGTTGCCTAAATTACGCGCGGATGTTGAGACATCGAGCCCGATCAAATATTTGGAAATGCCCATCGCGAGCAAGACTAAACAGCGGGATAGCCATTGTAGGAGTAAATAAATCTCGAAGAAGCCGTTCGCGTTTTCGAAACTTTCCACTTTACGGCGATATAAAGAGACGCCTCCTTGGCGAGATAGCGCACCCCCGCGCGGCAATTCCCGTTCTGTTTGCTCGCTCTTCTCGACCCTAAATATAGGCAACGATACTTTTACAATCTTCCTTCTTTTTCCCCGTCGTTTCAGTTTTATACCAAACGTATCCTACTTGAAGACGTACTCCTGGCGGAATAAAAAGTCAGATAGAGCGAGTCACTGAGAGAAGCAGTTC